TACAAGTGTGCTCCACCACACTTGGCAACAAACTCATTTTAAAATTCAAATAAATATTTATTTTCTAGTCAAGAACCTTCACTTTCTTAGACCTTTTTACATTTGTTGTCAACTCTAAGAGCTGCTTTTTAACATCAGGGTCATTTTTAGTAATTAAGAGTGAGTTTGTTAAGCCGGACGTGGTGGCACACGCCTGTAATCCCAGCACTTGGGGGACTGGGGTGGGACGATCTTTGGGAATTCGAGACCAGCCTGGGCTACAAAGTGAGCTCGAGGCCAGCCTGAACTGCATAGTGAGAGCTTGTCTCAAAAAGACAAAAAAAGAGTGAGTTGTATTATTTTGCTAGTTTCCGAGCACGTGGCAGCCTGTGAGTGACGTCACATTCAGATGCGGATGCTAGGCCGCCACCCGGCTCGCTCTGCGCCGAGTGGCTGGCTTGCTCCCACACAGCAGCCTTGCCGTGCAGAGCGAGGCTGTGCCCTGTCTCATTTGCTGTGGGTACACAGTGTCGGGATGCGTTTAGTGTGCACAGAGGCCTGCGCATACAGTGGCACCAGACCAGTACTTCTGATGTCGCAGCACTGGGGTTCGAACCCGGAAAGCACTGAGCTGTACCCCAGCTCCCCTCCCTATTTTCTTTGAGTCAGCGTCTCACTACATTGCCTGGGCTGGTTTTAAACGTGGAGCCCTCTTGCATCAGCCTCCTGAGTAGCTGATCTAGGTGCGTGCCACCACACCTGCCTTAACCTATTCAATGTTTCATTTTTGGGGGTGGGTACTAGGAACTGAACCCAGGGGCTTCACACTGAGCTATATCCCGAGCCCTTTTTATTTAATTTGTTTGTTTGTTGAGACAGGGTCTTGCTAAATTGCCCAGGTTGGGTTTGACTTTGCAGTCACCCTGTCTCAACCTCCCAGAGTGCTGGGGTGACAGGCATGTGTTACAGTGCCTGACTTATCTTCAGTTTTTCCATCTGCTTTTTTTTTGTTTTGTTTTTTCTTTTTGAGACGGTCTCGCTATGCAGTTCAGGCTGGCCTTGAGCTCACTCCGTAGCTCAGGTTGGCCTCGAACTCACAACGATCCTCCTGCCTCAGCCTCCTGAGTGCTGGGATTACAGGCTCCATCTGCTTTTGATGGCTGTCTCTGTCTGCATCTGGTCAGGTGATTACTTCTCTGTGCTTTGCACGCCCTTAGCAGCCCTTCTTTCCATTCAGACTTCGTACTGCCTCTGTCTCTGCAGTTGGAGGCCAGAGTGCAAAGACTGTTACAGCTGTACTTCTGTGAAAATTCAGTGACCCTGGGGCTCTGTTGTGAGTAAAGCACGCTGATATACTCTGGCCAGCTCCAGGCAGGCGAACTTGATGAATAAATGTCTCTGTTACATTCAGCATTACCCTATAAGGGTGTGTTTCTGTCATTCCTGAAATAGTTACTGTTTCTTTTTCCATAGGAGCTTCCGTGTACCAGTCTCAGAAGTGAAGGTAAGACCTGGAAGGGAATGAATAAATTTTCTAGGACGAAGATAATGTTCTAAAGCTTCATAGACAAGCGCCTGCCTGGCAAGCGCGAGGTCCTGAGTACGATTCGCGGTACCCCAAAAAATAAATAAATAAAGCTTAATAGAGGATTGAGTTATGTCTTTTCGCAAAATTTAGCAAAGATACAGTTAAAATTTGTGCATTACACTGTCTAATTTTTACCTCAAAAGGGAAAAAATTATGCTCGTGTCTGTAATCCCTGCACTTGGGAGGAAGAAGCAGAAGGGTCCCAACCTGGGCTGTGTAAGCAAGTTCAAGGCCAATACCCTGTCCCAAAAAAAGGAAAAAATTATAAATTGAATTCTAGTTAATCGGTTGCTAAAGAGTTGGGACTAAGTGTACTCATGTCTACAGCTTACCTTAAAACACATTTAAAAAACAAATTCATAGCAAGTAGGAAAATTGATATATATATGAAAAAAGTAAGCGTGTGAGTAATAGAATCTTGGTGGTAGGTATACAGGTGTTCACTGTCAACATGTTTCTTTTTAATATGTTTGAAATTTTCATAGTAGAATTTGGTTGGGGCAAATAATACCTTATAACTTTTTACACAGCGACTTTGATACTTGATCCCCTTAAGTCTTGTTGTTTTGTTTTGTTTCATTTTGTTTTGTTTTTTTTTGGGACAGGGTCTCACTTTGAAGTTCAGGCTGGCCTGAATTCTGTATGTAGCCCAGGCTGGCCTCAAACTGGCAGTGATCCTCCTGCCTCAGCCTCCCAAGTGCTGGGATGACAGGCATGCACCACCACACCCAGCTGCCCTTAAGTCTTGTAGGACTGCTAGATACCTGTGTTTAGAGGGGTTTGGTTTTGTTTGGTTTCATTTGGTTTGGTTTTTTACAGTACTGGGGATGAACCCAGGACCTTGCGCATGCTAGGCAAGCACTCTGCCACTGAGCTGCAGTGCCAGCCCCCTAGCAGCCTTCTTAACCTTGAGGCCTGGCGCTTCCTTAGTTGCAGGTCCTTATTTCACACTCTGCTCTGCCTCTGCCGCTGTCTTGGTAACCATCACATTGTCTGTTTAAGCCTTCACACTGAGCTACATCTTCAACCCTTTTTGTATGTTTTATTTTGAAACAGGATCTTACTAAATTGCCCCACTGGGCTCAAATTTGACACCTGTCTGCCTCAGCTTCCCAGAATGCTGGGGTTACAGACATGTGCCGCCACACATGGCACTTTTTAAAACTTGATGATGAAAAGTACGATTAAGTGTGAAAGACCCTCACAGTGAGCCCCAAACCTACCACCTTGCATCAGTTGTCAGCATTTT